TTTTAGTCTAAAAATACCACAAACACTAAAAATAACTTTTAAGGGTTTATAATTTTAAAGTTTGGGTTTGGATTTAGTATTTTGGGTTTAGAGCTTAGTTTTTAGGGTTTAGGATTTATTTTTTAGCGTTTAGAATTTAGTTTTGAAGGTTTAAAGTTCTTAGTTTTGTGGCATTTTCTGAAAAAATATCTTTTAGTGGTATTTTTGAGGAAAAAAAGCTAGTGAAAATATTTTTTGAACAAAAATCTATTTCGGTGGTATTTTTGAGAATTGCCGAAAAAAAAACAATCAATTTAACCGAAAACGTGAACACCAAATCTTTTTATATATATAACTAGGTAAAAATAAAATTTGTCGTCTATTACATCATCATAACTAGGGAAGTTCCAACGCAGTCTGGTTAAGCCCAATGTGTTTGTATCCATCATATGATCATAAACAGTCAATAAAGTGTTATCAAATGTAAAAACTTGATACCTATATACACAAAATACCTATATAAACTTGAACAAATTTCTCATTTTTGGTTTTACCCATTATGATTTTCTCATTTTTGGTTTTACCAAAGACTTTCTCATTTTTGGTTTTACCATCAAAATCTTTCGTAAAAAATATCATAATATTCAGTAAAACCAAAAATGAGAATTTGTTTTTGGTTATTAGTGTATTTGTGTCTTTGGTGTTTGGTTTGTGTCTTGCTTCTTTTTATTATGTCTTTTTTTGTCGTAGCTTTGTTGTTCGTTAACATCTGATAACGGCTGTTAGTGGTTCTGTTAGCAGACTTTAACGTAATATCTTTTGTGGCCGGGTCAACGTTAAGTGGATGATTAAAATAGCCTCATATGAGTTCATGTTTAAAATAGCCTAAAATTTGAAAGTTGGCGATTTCAATGACATTTTTTGGGGATTTTACTTGAATTGGGATTCGACTAACAGAATAGTTAAATGCTTGATAATGGCTCTTAGTGATTTCATTATCGGATTTTAACGCATGAAAATATTGGCCAGGTCAAAGCAGTGTGATGTCTAATACGACAGTCAACGTTTAGTTGATGTTTTAAATGGGGTACTATGAAGTTCATGTTTAAAATGGCCACAATTTGAAAGTTCGACGAATTAAATGACATTTTTCTCTATGTTAAATTGTGTTAGTGTATCTATTAAAGATGGAGCATAATATAAGAAAAGTAAAGTAATGAAAAAACTAGGAAGAATGATAAAAAGAATTAAGATGCAAATTGGTTAAAAAGATTTTATGGGTATATAAATTGCTAATTTATTATTTTACCTAACAAACTTTATTTTCATTATGCCACTAGAAAATAGTAGCTAGTTCGAGAATATTGTTTGATTTAAATTTTTGTGATTCATATATAACTGGTCTGACATTAAATTAAATTCTTAAGATTTATAATTGATGAAACATGAAAAATTTCTAAATATTAATATTTTTTACTTTGAAAATTATGTAGACTTAGTTTCCATAAATAGTTAACATTTTAAAAAATATTACACTAAGTGATCTAACTTCTTAAAATGTTGACATAATAAATAAATAACATTTTCTATTTATTATCCGTGCAAGCCCAATCAAAATATGCATAAGTTTTCAAATTGAGAATATGCATAATTTATTATAACAGTTGGGAACTCGAACCAAGATTTCTTTAAAAAGCTAGAACGTTTCTACAGGTTGAGCCAAAATAATTAGACACCAAAATCTTTTACTCCTCCCGTTTTACAAAGAGTGTCGTTTTAAGGTTTTAATTTTGTTTTACAAAGATTGTCGTTTTATGTTTTCAACGCAGTTTTTAATTATGAATCTCTTTTCTGACCTTATTATTTAAGTTTATTAATTAGAGAGAGAAACTATTATAGTGTATTATCAAAAGACATAAAAGAAATTTTCATATTTTTTTTAATTTGTGGGAAAAGTTGTAGAATGACATTTTTGTGAAAAGTATATATTAAACCTGCAACAGACTTTTTCCAGTTTTATGAGAAAACGTGTAAAAAAGGTTAAAAGGAAGAAAATTACATATCCTTATGTTACAATCTTACAAAGGACGGGTATGATAAGTTCACAAGAAAGTGACCCCAACATTTTAAAAACAAACTTTAGATTTAACGAAAATTTAGCTGAAGTCAGATTTGGTGATAAAAATACGAGTCTCCAGGTTTCTTATCTCCACCATCACTAGATGCTCCTCCAAATCTGTTGTAATTTCAGGTTCTTCCTCTATTTAACCTTTAGAGGTTCACCATCTTTATTCTCTCTTTATTCTCTCTTTATTCTCTTTAATGCTTTGTATCACTCACTCACTTTAACACAAGCACAAAGAGAACCTTAACTCTCATTCTCTCTAGTCTTTTGGTTGTTTCTTCCTTTAACACAAAAGACATAAAACGTTTGGTAAGAGAGAAGAGAGAAAACATTAATTGTCTACATCTTGTTTATTGGATCAAAGGATACTTTTACACAACACAAACAACACATACATATAGTGGTTTGTCTCCACTTACCACACACACTTGCACCCATACTTCTACTTGGACCTAGACTTACTTCTAGACATCATTGCCTAAGGTTTACTTACACAAGCAACCTTAACAACTACTATAGTCCTTAGCTATGCTTTAGACTAACTACAGCACTCTTTCTTCTTTGGGCCTAATTTAACTAATAGCCCAATACTAACATTATTACAAAACACACACAAAGCCCAACTCTTCCTTCTTGTTGACTTGTGTCTTTCTTCTTGTTGTGTCGTTGACCACTCTTTTCACGACACCAATTTCTTCTTCGCTAGCTTCTTCTCTTTGCTCTGTTCTTCTTCTTCTTCTCACTAAAGCTTTCTCCCTTGTTGCAGATTTAATCGAGAACTCAATCTCAACACTCCCTCTTGAGTTCTTCGATTAAATCCCCAATTTCAATTTTAGGGCTTTCAATCCCGTGGCTTCTTCTTCTTCGATAGATCGCCTCTCTTCTCTTCTTCGGCGAGCATCTTCTTCTTGCTTCTATTCCTTTTAATAGAGCTTCTTTCTCTATAGTGGTGCATAGCTTCTCCAACGACAGCTAGAGGTCACAACTCTCACCGATCACCAGTCACCGTCACGGTGAAAGTCTCCGCCGCGTCTTCAACCACCACTATCTCCGTAAGTTGGCTCTTCTTCTCCCTCTTAAGCTGAATCCCCATGGATCCAACCCTTTTCTTTCCATTTTTGTTGCGAATATTTTTGCCATCTCTTGGCTGGTTTTCTTCGCAATCTCCCTCTGTTTTCTTTGATCAAATTCTTGACCAAAGTCTCTTTTCTTGCAGGTAACACTTCGACCCTTTCCTTGAGCCTTCTTCATGTCACCAAGTCTTCTTCTATGTGAGCTCTCCTCACGTTCTCATTAAATTTCTTCTCCATGACCACTCGTCATGTCTCTTGCTCGGCTGACATTGCAACCGGCTTCAGCTCCCACTGTGGTGAGCTTCCTCTTTGCTTGGTGTCACTGTGATCACCAGCCTTGTTCTCCTTTTTTTTTTTCCGATTCTCCGAACCATCACCTTAGCTTTAGCCTTGGACTTTTGACTCTGGCACCATCACCCGGCTTCTCTTACCGTAGTCTCTTAGGTTTCTCCATGAGTCTCATCCTAGCTTTCTTTGCCTTAGTCGTTTGGTTCTTTGAATCTCCACCTCGGTTTTTCTCTAACCTTAGCTTGTTAGGCTCTTGAATCATCAACCTCCGCTTTCTCGGACTTAGTTTGTTTGACTCCTTGAACCGTTGGCTTTGGTCTTTCTCTAACCTTGGCTTCTCCTTCTCCTTCTCGTTTCAGTTGAAGAATCACATGGATTCTCAACATCAACGAGCATTATTGAACTTCACCGAAACTTGTCGAGCAAGAACAGAAAACTCCTTCACAACACCATCTCCACACCGTTGTCTTCATTGCTTCTTCCAGAAGATCTCCACGTCTACTTGGATGCACCTGAAGCCCTCCTTCTTTAAGGTACGGTTGTGAATGTGTTTGTTTAGGTTGATGGTGCTCTCTCTTGTCACCACCTTTTCTTTCCTTCTTTTCTTCTTCGACTTAGTCTCGGCTTTGCTCTTTTTTTTTCAGCCTTACACCTCTCTTTTTGTGCAGGCTCTTCTCTTCTTTTGTCTTGAGCTCAGGTCCACTCAAGATCTCACTCTCTTCATTCAGCTCACCTCTCAGTGATGAGCTGCACCTCTTCTTGTTCTTCTTCTCTCAGGTCCGGATCCTCTTGGTCTCTTTCTCACCAAGCTTCTCAGGTCCGTACCTCTCTTTTCTTTTTCTTCTTCTTCTACTCACTTGGACAGGCTCCAAGATCAAGTAAGCTCTGATACCATGTTGTAATTTCAGGTTCTTCCTCTATTTAACCTTTAGAGGTTCACCATCTTTATTCTCTCTTTATTCTCTCTTTATTCTCTTTAATGCTTTGTATCACTCACTCACTTTAACACAAGCACAAAGAGAACCTTAACTCTCATTCTCTCTAGTCTTTTGGTTGTTTCTTCCTTTAACACAAAAGACATAAAACGTTTGGTAAGAGAGAAGAGAGAAAACATTAATTGTCTACATCTTGTTTATTGGATCAAAGGATACTTTTACACAACACAAACAACACATACATATAGTGGTTTGTCTCCACTTACCACACACACTTGCACCCATACTTCTACTTGGACCTAGACTTACTTCTAGACATCATTGCCTAAGGTTTACTTACACAAGCAACCTTAACAACTACTATAGTCCTTAGCTATGCTTTAGACTAACTACAGCACTCTTTCTTCTTTGGGCCTAATTTAACTAATAGCCCAATACTAACATTATTACAAAACACACACAAAGCCCAACTCTTCCTTCTTGTTGACTTGTGTCTTTCTTCTTGTTGTGTCGTTGACCACTCTTTTCACGACACCAATTTCTTCTTCGCTAGCTTCTTCTCTTTGCTCTGTTCTTCTTCTTCTTCTCACTAAAGCTTTCTCCCTTGTTGCAGATTTAATCGAGAACTCAATCTCAACAAAATCCAATGGTCTGGGTCACTCCAGAAACAAGATTAGTAACCATGGAGGTTCCCCAATAGACCCACCCGGTTTCATTTCCATGTCGCTCAGCCTCAACGCCAATCCTCTGTTGCTGCTCTGCCATAAGCTCACCCCATCTCTTCCTCATAAACTCTCTAACCGCTTCAGCTCCTTGATTAGCCACTTCTTGAGACGGGATCTCAAGCGGGTTCTGGTCCAAGTTCAGTTTCTCCAGCTTCCTCAGCCTGTAAAACGAGTCCGGTATCGCTTGGATTTGGTTGTTGCTTAGATCAAGCTCCCTCAGGTTAGTTAGATCAGTGATTGTGTCAGGAACACCCATCAAGTTGTTGAAATTGCTGCTTAGGTTTAGAACCTCGAGTTTCGTTAGTCTCCCGATAGAATTTGGTATCCCGTGGATCTCGTTCATGTGTGCGTCAAGATACTTTAGATTATACATTTCGCTTATCGAACCTGGAAAGTAACGGAGTTTGTTCAGCTGTATCGATAATCTCTCGAGGTTCTGTAATCCGTATCCAATATTTGTAGGCAATGTAGTCAAGTTGTTGTAGCTTGCATCTAACTCAACCAGTGACCTAATTTATGAAACCTCAGGACAAAAGTACAAACAATATACAGAACATTTACAAGAAAAGACAAGAACACGAACCTGCAATGCGCGATGCTCTCAGGGAGAGCGGTTAGATTGTTCCCATTCACATTAAGGATCCTAAGGTTAAGCAACATCCCTATAGAGTCAGGAAGAGATTCAAGAGAATTCGAAGATACATCGAGCTCTTCTAGCTTCTTGAGTTTCGAGATTGCATCAGGTATAACCTGTAAAATGTTTACATAACAAAATCAGTTTCACACATTGCAGGAAGATTTAAAAAAACAATGATAATTTCTTGCATTCCAAGAAGCATCAAAAACACATATAGTTTCTTGTATTCCAAGATTCTGCAAAAATTAGATCTATCAATGTCTTTTTCGATATAATTCATGAGATTCTGGAAGCTATAATCGAGATTTAACATACTCGAGCCATCGTTAGAGACAGTTCAAAATTTTGGGGATCTTAGTATTACCGTCAAGTCATTGCCAGAGAGATTCAAGTAAACTAAGCCAACTAATTTCCAAAACGCTTCAGGGAGAAGCTTAAGTTCTTGACCGGAGAGATTGATCCTCTCATTGATTTCGCCGGATTCAGCCGCCTTGAGCACAGCAACAACCTCCTCATTCACTTCTTCGCCGCTTCTCAATAACGATTCCACCTCTGTAGCATAAACCCTAGAAAGCTCCTCCTCTATATCCTTCAACTTCTTCTCGTAACTATCGTGTACCTCATCCAACCGCACAACTCCGGTGTAAATCTCCGACTCCTTCGCCGCTTCCTCCGGCGAGAGCGAATCCATAATCTGAGCGATCTTGGACCGAGCAGAGGAAACCGCTAAGGGATCCGGTCGAGAGCCGAGAGAGTTGAAGACGAAAAGCGTCTGAGTGATGGTTGTGGGGATGGATTGAGTCAACGAGGACATGATCTGAGGATCGGAGAGAAGAGGAAAAGAAGGAAGGAGAGTTTCTTGCGCAGCCATAGACGGCGGCGGGTGGAGATTGGAGTCATGTTGGTGAAGGACGTAAGAGAGTAAAGGGAATTTGTCGAGATCGTGATCCATGGTTTTTTGTGATTATTAGTCAAAGCTAACTAGAGATTAAGAGAGGTTTTAGTAAAGGTATATTCATGGTTGAACAAGTCAGAAATATTGAAGTTGATGTTGCCATGTTTGTGATCATAAGTCTAGTGGGTTGAAAAGTGTCGAAGTTGACCGAGGATATTAATAAGATTCCATGATGAAAAAGTCAAGAAGCCATCTTTTTTGAATAATCGAATCAAGACCAATCCGGTCCAGTTAATGCAATCGGATTTGGAATATGGCATTAATGAGCTTATGCAATCTTCTTTTAAGTTAGGAAAATTGTCCACATAGGATAAAAACAACTGTTAATCGTTTGAATATTTGATCCAAGGACTTGATCCATGAAACCAATGTAGGTTTAAGCTACATTCTTCAATCACTATATCCGATATACAATTAAACATGATCGTTTGTTGAATACCGAATGCGAACAAAAAAATTTGGGGTCAACTCGGAAGCACTTCTATCTTACATCATATGTGTTTCACATTTTCTTTGCTTAAATTCGATAGGCAATTAAGTTTTGACTTACCTAATGCTGGAAAAAAAAAAACTTATTTGTAAAATGCTAGTGTTTGTTTCCCAAGTCAAGTATCCCATTATTCGACCCACACCTGCCGGAACTAGCTACAAGATTCAACTCATGTTGCTTTTACCATCAGTTTTCAGTTTGGTTGTGATTTGAAACAATGTAACAAAATCCAAACGTAAGTCAATGGACTTGGTTCCAAATAACCTATAGAATCACAATCTCAACTTTTCTAATTACGTACTAAGAGAAAAATAAAAGTTATGATTGTTTTCACGTCATTGTTAGATCATCAGGATAAGCGACCAATCCTAAGAGATGCTTGATGGCCTAAAAATGCCTAATTTCGTGGTGTTTATACCGCCTAATTCCTCTTATCAATTGCCATAGTCCCTAACTCCCTATAAATATAATCTCTAATAAGTCCACCACCACCTAATTTGTGAGCTTAAAATATCTGAAAATTCAGAACTCACGTCGCTTTTTTAGGTCATTAAAGTTTTCATTTTTCCACAGTCCAAGACCTCAATTTTGTTATTGGATATAACTTGTACTTGGTGTCTTCTCCTCCCCCACCCAAACTCTCTTAATTCATGAATATCACTTTTCCAATAGTCTTAAAAACTAAGTATTATTATTTGTACTTCTCCACACCAGCTGTATTTCGGGACCCATTTTTATTTTTAATTAAAATCGAATCTTATCATCATCGCTATCACTTCTTCTTCTTCTTTTATTCCCAACATTCTTAATCCATTTTTTTTTATCTTGTCTTTCTCTTCTATTTCTCCAAGCTTATCCCGTTTCGAATTTCGTCTACCATAAAAGTTAAATCAGAAAATATATATATGTTAATGTGAAAATGATATTAAGAAACTGGACCACATACCATAAACGAGAAAAATCGACCACGCCTTTGCTCGAATTTTATAAGGATAGAGTAAATTACCTGCAAACGAACCAAAAAATGATTAGCTCAACAGAAATTGAATAAACCAAAAAAAAAAAGTTTAACCAACACACACGAACAAACAAACAAACGGCGATATACCGCCAGCTAAACAGTAACGACGCAAGCAAAACAGAACAATGTAACGGAAAAGTAGATAAGGTAGGGAAACACGTGGTGGACAAGTCCGGTTAAACGTTGACGGGAAAAATGCAACGGCAATAGACGGAGTTATGCTAAGATAACGGAAACAAAATTCACAAAAAAAATGAATTAAACACACTCACCCAATTCATCATCATCACCAACAAAAAAGAAAAAGCTTTGGGATGATTTCATTAATGGCGATGGTCAGATCACGTACACCCTTCTATTATATCTCTCGCTCTTTTACATTTTATAAAACAACGAAGATACTTTTTTTGTTTTAATTGTATATTCCGACGATTCTTCACATTTTTTTTTCTTTCACTGATGTTATTGCCAGTGATTGCCGTTGTGAACAAGGTAGATATTTCTCGAATTACGGTGAACGTAACAACCGTAACACGGATTCTTCGTAATCGTCGTCATTCTCGGTGGCGATGGAGGAAGCGGTGGTTTTGAAAGAGACGGAGATCTAGGACTTGATGAAGAAGAGGAAGTTGTAGAAGATGATGACGTGGTGGATGACGGTAAGGCTAACGGAGGCGGTGATTTTCTAGATCCGACGGCGGATTTTGGTGGATTTAAGAAGACTCTGATTTTCATCGGAGAAGATGAAGAAACGAGATCGTACTCTTCGATTAGATTCGCTAGATCTTCATCGGATCTAATTGAAACGAGCGCGTCGAGATCTTCCATCGGAAGTTGACATCGGATCGTTACGGTTGTAGATCCACCGCCGCCGCCGCCACCGCACATCTCCGCCATCTTCGACGCTAGTTCTGTTAACACGCACCACACGCGTGGCCTTAATTTCTCTCTCCACAAAACCGATTTCGTTTTTTTTTTTTGCGAAATTCAAAATTGACAATGAGATCGAGAGCGTGAACTAACCGGAAAATGAGATGGAGCGAGGAACGGCGAGGACGCGAGTGTGACCGCCGTTGTAACGGAGTTTGCCGTCGGGATAACGAGGTAAGATTTTGCCGCCATAGCTACAGAGAAATTTGATTGTTGAGTTCGTCGGAGATGCAACCATAACTGTAGAGAGAGAAGAGATGAAGAAGGAAGATTCTAGAAGATTGGTTTGTTCTGTGCAAGCCAAGTGAAGAGTAACGTTAAGAGCGTATTTATAGCGATTCATGAAATTGAGTAAACAAAGAGACTGAAGGGTAGGATCGTCATTTAGTTGACCCATTAAATTACGTAATCTTTTATTTTATTTTTTCTTTAATGAAAAAACCCGTAAAAAGATAACGAGATTTACTGATAAGTTAATTTAACTTTTTGTGTTGAGTACTATGAATGGATACTACTGTATATACAGCATTTTCAAATTTATCCAACTGGTGCACATTTGAAATTTGATCTTCTTTATAAATTGGCTTTTATTTTTAAACTTTCTTTCATACTTAAAGTATTTTTTATTAAAAATTATTGCACAGAAGTTATAATAGTTTAAAAGGGTATACTCAAGCTCAAAATTGGCATACAAAAGTTTGCACAAAAATTATACTTTGAATAGTTTGCACAAAATAAGACCAAATAAAATATTGGACTACAAAAGTTTGCTAAAATCAAATTACAAAAAACGTTCTAAATAGCACAAAAATAAGTTTTGTTACCAAATTTAGTACATAATCTCCAAAGTTTCAAAATATCACAAATTTAATATTAAAAAAACTAATATAAGCATTTGATTAACGTTTTACGCAATCGTGTATTATAATTATGAATTTAAATTAGAATTAATTTTATTATTTTACATAGCAATTTTAGTTCATCTTCTTTAAAAAAACAAGTCCATGATTTTATTATCCACTACGTCTATTGTCGTTGCATTTTTCCTGTCAATGTTAACTGAACTGGTCTGTCACATGTTACCATATACCTTATCTAGTCGTCTGTTACATTCTTCTGTTTTGCTTGAGTTGTTACCGTTTCGATAGCGTAATTATCGCCGTTTGTTTTGGTGTGTTGGGTTAAACCCTTTTCTTTTAAAAGGTTAAAAAAATTCTTTTTTTTAAGGTTAAATTAAATTACTAAATAAGGATAAAATAGTTATTATGTAAAATCACTAATGCCAATTTTGAAAATTTGTGAAGTATGTGCTACAATTGTCCATAAAATTTGTTTTAATGCTATTCTACAATATTTCTCAAATAATCTAGACAAGTTCAAATTGGTCTTTATTTGAAAACATTATCTGATACATAAAGTGTATTTTTAAACCTTCATTTTCACAAAAGTTTTGTTTTTATTGAAACCAAAGAAAACAAAAATGCTTGCTTGTCATGAAGATGCATTCTTGATTCTTTGTAGAACTCTTCCACAAACTTAAAACTCACTCCCAAGTTACACCAAATGTTAGCAATGATGTTTTATCTTCATTTTTGCTGCATATTCAAAATTGCGAGAGTGTATAAGAATTTTGGATTTTTGGACGGAATCTTATGTTTTGTGATGATGATTGAGACGAACTTGGCGAAAAGCTTTGTAATTGTTGTAGTTTGAGCATCAATTAATCATCTGAAAAACTATTAACGGGGAAGATAAAATGAATATTAGTTTTTGATATAGTTTTTTGTTTTATATATTACTTTTAGAGAATTAAAAAAAGTTTTATAAAATCTCAACTAATATTCAAATAAATCATATTATTATTTTTTATTTTATTTTATATTATTATTTTCTTACCTACAACATTTATTGCTTTTGGGACATAATTATTTACGAATTCATTTACTGATATTACAGAGAAAACATTTATCAAATTTAGTAACCTTTTTGTTAAATATTAAAAAAAAAATTTCAACCATCAAATATCATCAACATAAATAGATGAATCAAAAGATAATTTTATAGAAATTTTAATGAACAAGTAATAATTTTGATAAATTTTTATTAAATGTTTACAAAATTAATTATATCTAAATATGTACATATATATTATAATATTAGTAGTGCTTTTTTAATTGTAAACAACATAAATATACAGTATAAACTTGAACCTGAATGAAATGATAATAGATCGATCACATTAACAAATGTTATAAGGTACATGTTATTATCTGCTAACATTGATTTTAGAAATATAAATAATTTATTTTAGCTAGATTGGTATACTTTCAAGTTTCAAGTATTCAGATTAAATTACAACTTTTAGCTTCTTTTAGTGAACACTGTTCCCAACTGTTGTGAACAATATTAGAGATTTTATCTTTCTGGTTTAATATTGAATGTAGTTCGGTTATCTATTTTGTGTATAGTTGGTTATCTCTCTTAGTATTTAAGTTTGCTTTGTATCATTATTTACGTTTAATGAAGGTTTCATGATTGTTGGATATGGTACCAGAGCAAAATTTCTCAACTTACATTCACCTCTGCCGCTTGATTCAATGTCGATTCTTTCTTATTCCTTTTTGATTCTTTACTTGATTGTCCTTAAGATTTTGGTTCTCTTTTTCTGGTTTAATGTTAAATGTAGTTCGGTTATCTATCTTGTGTATTATTGGTTATTTCTCTTAGTATTTAAATTTGCTTTGTATCATCATTTACGTGTAATGAAGATTTAATGATTGTTGATAAACAAATTTGACAATAATAAAGAAAATAATAAAGAGAAAACTATTGGGACCCATTACCACGTGGGCCACACATGGAGATGGTCCATACTCCATAGGACTTTGCAATTGCATGGCCCCGTAATGCATATACCCCATTCAAGCATTTGTGATAGCCAATAAAAATTTTAAATATTGTGCCATACATACACCAATATAAATATTTTTGTTTTGAAACTTAAGTTTAATTAAGAACGTAATTAAATTCTCTAACTTACGAATAGCCACAATATAAAAAATTCAAGATATTATGATGAAAAAGTGTTTAATTTATATTGATAATGATGTATGCTAATCTTTCAACTAGATATAAAGATAATACTAAAGGTGGATAACAAAAGAAAGGAGATAAACATAAAAGTGAAAGAACAAATTCAAGGTTACATCAACATTATCCAATCATGTCATGTATACACAGACGCATCAAAAAAATGCAAAAAATCGCGAATATTCTTTTGGAAATATGCTTTTGTATCTCCTATAATAAATACATACATATATATATATATATATGAAAATATTGGAAATGATAATGATTTATCTTTGTGTATACGTGTGTATCAGTATCTCCCGATCTCTACGTCCAATTATTTTAAATGGTCCTACTCTTTGCACCGAAATTATAAACATATACCAAAAAAAAACATATACCAATATCTGTTGATGAACCCAAAAAAAAAAACATATGCCAATATCTTTAGTTTTTAACTTTTTATATCAATATATATATATATATATATATAATATGTGTATAAATTGTAAGATATCGTGTGGCAGTATGAGTTATCACCGAATTAATTGACGAGGTTACTGTTGATAAGAATATAAAAAGTAAGTTGATCCGGTCCCGTTGATCATAAACGTAAAGAAAATCCAATCGTGTGAACTGGGGAGTCTTGTCTAGTAATTTTATTAATTAACCATAAAACCTAAACAAAATTGTTTTTAAAAAAAAATTATAAAGAAGGAAATGCATTTATTTTATAATATTCATTTTGTTTTGCCAAATTCTCCATGATTAAAAGTGTGCTTCTCAATAATACACGCCGCCCCTTCTCTCTAAAAAAATCAATAACTCTCTCCCTTCTCTCTAAAAACAAAAGGAACGTAACGTCCGTTTGATCTCTGGTTCCAGTGGCTTCCATAGCACTGGAGCTGGAGAACCTCCTTTTACTAGTCTTGTTTTATCTCTTTTCTTTAGTACTTCCATGAATTTCTTTCAACGGAATCAATTCTAGTTTTCCAGATCTAGGTTTTTGAAGCTTAAATCTTTTCATCTTTGTGTTCTTGTATTCTCAGCTTCTGATCTGGCCGTATCCTTCCTTGGCAGAGGCAGTTTTCAACCGGTTCTTCACTGCCTGAGATGAAGAAAATTCACCATCGTAGATCTAGATCATATCTTCTTCCTTTTTTCAAGAGACGATCCTTGAGACTCTAGATTTTGGATGTGTCTCACCGCCTCCGTGGCTCCTCTCTGGAGCTTTATAAAGAGGGTCGCACGGCACTTTCAATCAGTTCCAACTTGTGGTAAAGGAGATTCTTGTATTTTATCCCGTTTGTGTGTTTTTCTTAATCTCAGATTTGATTAAATTTTCTAAAGTTTAGGTTTTGTAAGTCTTTTTTTGGGTTTCTGGATTCTGATCCGGGAAGTATTTATGGTTGTAGTTGGTTTGTTTGGGTTTTTTCCCCTTTGTTTACCTTGTTTGGTTTTTGTCTCTGGGAGTGTTCTTGTACTCGCCAGCTTATGTCTGTGGAAGAGTTTATCTCTTGCCGGCTTTGTGTACTAAAACCGCATCCCACCCTTGTAACCTTCAATCGTATAATATAATGGAATAATTCAGACGAAAAAAAAAAAAAAAAAAAAGTGTGCTTCTCACGTCACTAATATCTTGAACATGCAATGATAACATTATAAAAAATAAAAATAAAAAGCAATGATAACATTAACAATATAATAATAATCTTAGCCTTCTTCTTCATGCAACGAATACGAATAAATAATTGCAGTATTTTAAAATCACAAGCTCGCGTGCCAAAGCTTCAAAGCAATACCGATATAATTTTTATTCACAAACGACTTGGAATAGTTTTGTGATATATAGTGTTAAACCGTTTAAAACGATAATAAACTCTTATCAAACATATACACTATAAAGAAGGTTTAAACACATCTTGATTTCATCCAAATTTCAGAAAGAAAAAAAACACATACACAGTTAAAACCTTAAATATTTTTTCAGAATGATCTGATTACATTAGTATAATAAATAATTGGGAGGTCATAAACCACCAAATCTAGAAAATTTATTAATTTCCAAATCTTTAAATATATATTTTGTTATTTAAAACGTCTAAAATCACTAATAATAACTAAAATTTATTATAAAAGCACGAGATTTGGAATTAACAAATGAATTTGTGGATAAGATGTTGTTTGACCGTTTGAAAGTGAAACAAAAAAAATTGATTTCACTGTCAAAAT